TACAGATCCAGGCCTTTTATAAGTCAATGAACTCATGCCAGGAATAAATTGAGACCAAATTCCTCAACAGAGTTAAATCACTTCCAGTCAGTCCAAATAGAGCAGAGCTTGCTCTGCCCTGCAGCAGGGATGTTCTCACCATAATGCAAAACCCTGCAACACTTCTGCTCCGTGCTTCTATCTTTATCTTAAAAAAGTGCCCAGTTTAAAACCAGGAAAAATCTGTGCACCTTGTGGGTTTAAACTGGTGCCACAGCTCCAGGAACACAATCATCACTTTGAAGAATTTGCTACATGGTCCCTCTGCACTCAGCGCTGGTGAGGCTGCACCTTGAATCCTGTTTTCAGTTTTAGGCCACTCACTACAAGAAAGATATTGAGGTCCTGGAGGAGGTCCAGAGAAGGGGAATGGAGCTGAGGAAGGGTCTGGAGCACAAGACTTATGAGAAGCAGCTGAGGAAGCAGCTTCAGTTTTGACTGAAGAAAATTAGGCTCAGGGGAAACTGTCTCACTCCTTACATCTACCTGGAAAAAGATTGTAGATGGGGAGTGTTGGCCTCTTCTCCCAATTAACAAGAAATAGAGCAAGAGGAAAAGGCCTCAGATTGCACCCGGGGAGGTTTAGATTGGATATAAGGAAAAAAATTTCTTCACCAAAAGGGTTGTCAAGCACTGGAACAGACTTCCCAGGAAAGCGGTCGGGTCACGGGTCCCTGAAGGTATTTAAAAGACATTTAGATATGGCACCTGGGGATGCGGTTTAGTGGTGGCCTTGGCAGTGCTGGGCTGACACTTGGACTCACTGACCTTAAACATCTTTTCCAACTAAAACAATCCTGAGATGCTCCATCTGCAAGCAGTGCCATGACTCTGCCCTCAGAAGTGAGTTCTGCTGTGATGGATCAGATGGCCACATGCAGCACACCACCCCAATCCAATTTTACAAAGGTTAGCAATCCAGGCCCACAGGCCCTGGGTGAATGGCCCAGGCCTGCCCTCCTGCACCAAAGGGGCACTTACAGACCTGTGTGACCATGAGACCTTCCAGCACAGAGCAGTAACAACTAAAGGGCAAAGAGGCCCCACAGGGAGGGTAACTCTGTGTGTCCCTCATGGAGCACACAGGGGTTGTTGGTGCTGCACTTTGCACTGATCACAATTGCACTTCCTTGGGGAAAAACACACCTGGACACACAGCTCCCTGGCCATCACAGGAACTAACAGATATACAAGAAGGAAAACTGATGGCTTTCATCCTGGCTGGCTACACACACCAAGTGTTACCAGAACCTCTTCACATTCAGTGCTCTGTTTCCATTATGCTTTGCTGTTGCTCTTTTTTTTCACCAACTCCATGAAAAAACCCCACTTTGGATTGATCACCAGACAACAGATTAATCATGATCCTTCTGGATGTGGAATGGAAACATGCAGTCCAAAGAGCTGATTTTTGTCTTGAGGCTGGGATTTACACAGTGCTTTCTTTACTGGAAAATTGAGGAGAAGAAATGGTGCTGTATGACATCTCATGGGTGTCCCAGAACTCTCAACAGTAAATCTGTTTCTCCAGAGGCAGAAAAAGGAAGAAGGCAACAGCTAATTATACTCTGTGGGGCAATTTGCTGTTTTATTTCCTGATGTACTCCCTGACTAGTGGAAAATCACTCTTGGCAAACACAAAACTTACCCTGTTTCCAAAAGGTGCATCTCTAAATTATTAATCAAGAGTACACAGAACCGCGAAAGGTGGAATAGTGAACAAAGGCTCAATTGACACTCTGGAAGTTGAGGAAGCTATGGAAGACTCCCCTCTAATTTATTTATTCCTTTTCTGTTCTGTTATCCTGATATGCTGCTTCCAGTTACCACTGCACCCCACACTGTATGGTATTACGTGATTTTGTTTTCAGATTGTTGGAGATAAAGTTACTTCATTATTAATATATGCACTGTGCATATCCATAAATATTGAATATATACGTGTGTGTGTGTGTGTAAACCTACTGCAAGTGTTAATAGTTAAGATAAACGAAGTCCATTATTGCAATGAGTGACTATTTCTATGACCCTATTTGCAATAAAAGCAGATTCAATGATATGAGAAAATTGCTAGGTTTCAGAATAATTGAACCAGGCCAGACGAATCCCCACAAAGGCATCATTTACAAAGTACTTTGCTTGTCTAAAATATTTATTCCCACAGAAGGAAATGGAAAAAGAGTTCATATGGTTACACGGCTATCCTCTGAGTGTAAAATTGTTTTATCATGTTATGTTTATTTCCTAGACATCTTCCACTGAGGTATTGTAGAAAAATACTGGCTGTGCAGTTAATTCCTTTGTGTGGACTGTTCATACTTATTCTCTGGAAAGTCAATCATGTTTTGTTTAGGCATGTTTTGTTTTTCTGCTGAGCAAACACTTAAGCAACCCTTTTCTTGTAAAAACTTATTTGCATATACAATGTGCACCATTCAGTGTCAGTAGCTACACAGAGAGTTGAAATGTTTTTGCTTTCTCTCCTATGTACCATGGGAAGTAGTGGATTTCTTGATTAAAATGTTGGTGTTTCTCTTTAAGACTGCATTATATTGTTCGTGTTTAAGGGCTACATCAGTAGTTATAGACAATTTTAGTTTGTCTTTTATTGAAAGCCTGGATAGATTTTTTACTATTAAACATTCACAGCAAAATGATTCCAAGCAATCTACAGACAAAGAATTACTCCCAGCAATTATCCACTGAATAAATCTGAATAATGAATACATTGACAAAAGTCACTATCTATTTGTGAACAATTAGCTGAAAGAAATAGAGGTGACACTCACAAGCTAAATAATTCATTTATGAATTATTTGTCCAGCTTTGTTTCTGATGTTCTTTGCATGAAATGAGATCAAATCTTAGATGAAAAATTACTTTAAAAAGAACAGCAATATTAAAGGAAATTCTTACAGATTCTAATACAGGAATATCCCACTATAGTAACTATTATTTATTACTAGTGATTTCAAGTGCTAGAGAAGTTATTTTCCTGGATTCTTTTGCTTTAAGCATTGGGCTGTGTTTTATTTCTAACATATATCCAATTTTGGATTGTTAAACTACAATCAAAAGCACTTAGTAGGAATGGAACTGTCCCTGTCATGAGATTTGAACTCCTGACATCTTTATCCACTGAAACTTGAGTGCCCAGGTAACTACTAATTATTCAAGCATTTACAACCATTACTATCAATATAATTAGCACTTCTTGAGATAAAAGTGAGAATGCCACTACGAAATTATCATCCCTGGCATTTAGATAGCAATCTTTCATGAAAACATTTATAAGCTGCCCAATTATTTTTCAATCAAATGAACAAAAAAAATTGTTTACATTTAAGGGGAATCTAGAACTGAAAAGAAATGGTTTCTGGCATGAAAAATTATAAATGTTGTCTCCATGTGTCCATTTCTTGTACACAACAAATCCCATCAACTTCTGCATTGGTGGTTTTTTGGTTTTTATTTTTTTTTAAATTACCAAAATATCTTTGACCAAATACCTAGAAAACTGTAAAATCTTCCTTTGAACAAAGCCAGGTTCAGTGAAAAAGATATGAACAAGGTTTTTCCTTTGGATCTAAGAGCTGACAAATGCATTGCCCCACTCTGCAGGAATAAGAGGCTGCACAAGACCTTCTTATGTGCCTTGCTGGGCAACACTAATAAAAATAAATGAGACAGTTCCCATGGAAAACTCAAAACTAGATGAGGACTAGCGTTTGAGTTCCCTAATCCCACCTTCATTGGTTTTTCTGGCCAAACCAGGCAGGTAAATTCCTTTTACATGAATTAGTAGCAAGTGATTACCACAACAGGAGGAAGGAGGAGCCAGAGAAGCCAGGAACCATGGTTTGACAGGTTTTGTCACCTTTCTGTCTAGGATCTACTATGAACAAAATCTCAAAGACTGTCTTTTCCCCACCAAAAGCCATCCTAGTTGTACTGAAATAACCTCTGTGGAACACTTGCAGGACACAGCAGAAAGGGCATTTTGGAAGCATTTCACAAGGCCTGCAGCTGTGAGTTGGTTTCAGCATGAGGAAAAGCCCTCCATCACCCCAATGCACAGGAAAGAGAAGGTAAGGGGACTTTCTTCAGGGTAATTTTAGATATGGTGCATTCAGTGGAGAGCCCTAGACCAGCCAAATCTATTCCTCTCCACATGGATGCTGATGTCACTGAGGGCAGGCTTGAGGACAGCACACCCATGCAGAGGCTGAGCTGCAGGAAGCAGCAAGTCCTGAGGAGTCTGCCAACCCCATCAGCCACAGAAGCCTCCTCTGCTGCTCTGGCCCAGTTTTCTCTGGGGAGGTCCAAACCCTTTCCATCTACTCACCCATTCCCCATATCCCTAAAAGGAAGAAAGTAAATAGTGAAGCCCACTGAGCAGCTGTGCCCTCTGGCTCCCAGAGCCTGTATGAGCATCTTACCACCCTCTCTGTGCTGCAGAGCAAGGGCCAGCCTGAACATGACATGGAAATATCCGTCCAACCACCTGCTATAAAACCAAACCATGTACATTACACATGGCACTGCAAAGAAATAGCTCCAGGAAAGGAACTACAACAACAACAAAAAAAAGCACAAGCTTGTGCTTGCACGGACAACAAACCAGTATGTTTCAGCAATCATGGCAGGTATTTCTAACTAAAAATTGTGTATTTGATGATGCCCAGCCTTCAGCATTTGACAAGGGACTGTTAAAGCCTCTTGAACAGTAAATCACCTCTCTTTCTATCAATAATCTTATTACAATATGAGTAGAAATGTCAAATGTTTAAATCCCACTTTATTACTATAATAATGGATTTAATTTGTAAAACATATAAAGTGAGGCCATAACTGTTCTGGAGGGAGATATCTGTCATCCCACTATATTTCTATAATTTGCTGGTGACTTTACCCACATATTTTGAATGGAGGAAGGACTAAAAGCAATCCCACTTGCAAGATTTTTGTGATTGGGAATGGATTCTGGAAAGGCAATCAACATGATCACAGAATGCAGCAATTGCTATCAAAAAAAACACTCCCAACTTCACATTCACAGAGAACAAACACGTAGGTGTTTGTCTGTGACTTGCTCTATTCAGGCCCTCTCCCACTGCCAGGACAGCTCTGCTTCCAGCTGCACAGGCAGCATTATCACTGGGTGCTATTTTTGGCTCCTGAGTACATCTCATCCTTCCCACGCCAGCCCTGGTACAAAGGACACAAACTCCTCTCTGCACTCCTTGTCCTGCACGGTGCCGCTGCCGGCTCCGTCCCTGCTGCTCAGGGGTCTCCGGACACTTTTCCTTGATCCTTCTCAGTTTCTGGGCAAGAGGCTTTCCATCCAAAGCTTCGTGTGGGAGGCTTCATGTTGGCATCCAGAGTACATGTCCCAAATATGTCCAGCCTCACTTTCTGATCCTAGTGCCAAAGAGCTGCAGGTAAGTAATCTTCTCATGGGTGATGAAGTCCCTGTGTCCAGTGCCTGGAGCTTGTTACAAATGGGTTGTTTTTAGGGTCATAGAATTTCCCAGCTATCACTTTGGTAGGTTTCCAGCTCTTGTCACAGCATGCTAACACCAGATTTCTGTCTGAGGGAACAGTGTTTTGTTCATTCTGACAATGTAGAGCTTTGATTTCTGTAAGCTATTAAAGTCTAGTGAATATCATGAAATCACTTCCTTTTTAAGGTCTTCCTTGGCTAGGTGCTATCCAACCAGCACGTTGTTTCATGTTTTTCTCTTCTGATGTGATGTCACTGCTAAGAGTTTGGAAAAGCTCATATGGGCAACAGCTGCACTTGGAGTTATAAATCTCTTCAAACATAAGGTTCAGTTTCCTTGGTCGTGCCACAGGAGAAGCCCTTATAGCTATAAGCACCCCTAGCCTGAGCTAGGCTGTGTCTCCCTAAACCTGTTTCATTTTACACAGAATAATCAAATATTCATTATGTTAGTAAGTGTGTGTGTGGCTGTTGCAGAGGGATTGGGGTATTCACCTGGTAGATGAGAGACCCTGCTCCCAGTGACCGCTCCAATGAATATTTAAGTATTACATATTAAGTATTCATTGCAGCAAGGATAGGAGCAGACTTCTGCCACCCCCAAGGGAGCACCCAAACACGAGGCTGTAAAGTCATTCTTTCTTTCTTTCTTTAGCTCAATGAATATTTAATTATTCAAGGCCAAACAAGACAGCTCCAGTGGCAGAGACTGAGATTCCCTGCACTATAACCCTGATGATGAGGGCATGTGTATAAGACATAGCTTTGTATTTCTTTGGACTCAGAAATAAGTGAAATCCAGGTTTTCCATAACCTGAATGGGGCTTCCAGCTTCTTAGCTGGTGAATGAAAAACACAGAGCTCCAACACACACTGTCCCCAGTCCTGAGACAGAGGTGATATGACCCCAGGATCAGAGAAAGCATCCTTAGCAGTGATGAGATTGGTTTTATGAATCTCTCAGGAGAAGGAATCAAAGCTGAAGACATTCCTCACCCCATGGCAGTTCCTGATGGCAATGTAATATGTCTTTTGAGGTTATCCAGGATGTGATGTGTAAGAAAACCTATTTATCCCCTTTACTCTGGGGTCTGACATCCCCAGACTGCAGTCAATGGGACCTAATCCTGTTTCTGCAGCCCAAGGAGTGGATGTGTGAAATGGTGAGCATGAGGAAAGCATTCAACAAGAAGGCAAGACAATGGCATTTGGGTCTAAAAAAGGACAAAAGTAGATATTTGAGGAGTAGAAAGGTTAAAGCAAGGAGCAGAACTGAAGTAAGAAGCATGCAATCAGTGAATGGGGGAACAACAAACAAGGGGGGGAAAAGGGAGCAGAGAGAAATCCAGAAGAAATAATAACCTTTATCTAGCAGAGGAACAGAGGGGAGAGATAGAAAGGGCTAGAGAAGATTACTTCAGTCTTAAAAATAAAACATTAAGAATCTCTACTCCTCACTTTGAAAAGCAGAAAAATTGCCATCTGCTCTCTACTGCCAGAGGACAGTGGGTGTCTGAATCAAGGTTCTTTGGATTCACTTTGGGCAGTTGACTGTGGGAGCACTCCCATGCAGAACAGTGAGTTATTAATGTTATTGCAGCTCTGTTTCTTGTAATTTCAAAGAATCCACTGCATTATGATTGTGTTGTCAAAGACTAAATGTGGTTTCCAAGCAAAAATCAGAGCAACAGCATAATTGTTATATTGAAATGAAAATAAATTACCTTCTTGTACCCATCAGGAGTGCCCAATCCCAAGTCAGCTGCACAGTCCCAGTTGCTGAAATGATAACACTGTATTCTGAATGGAAATGCTTAGCTCAGAACATTTCAAAGGTGCTCCAAATGACATGCTTCATATATTTCATATATTTCATATCACATTTATGTTCTTCTAAGAACAGCCCAAGGCTGTTGAGCTGCCACCTTCAGCAAATATTTGTTACTATAAGTTAGAGAAATCCTTTCTGAACATTTTGCTGTCCATTGCTTTATCTAGCCTTTTCCCTGAGAATACAGCTTCAGAGTACTGCAGATGAATGGCAATGTAGGAATATCCCTTTTGTTTGGCTGTAAATATCACAGTGGTCTGGCTATGTCCAAGCAGAGGTGTGACATATCATGTCCTTCGAGGGACACTAACACATCCACTAAAGATCAAAAGTTCACCCAGATACTTCACCCTGTTTGAATGGTCACGTGTTTTGTGTTTTGGTCAACTCTTCAGACAGATGACAGCAGCTCTCCTCCTTCCATACTGAGGAAAAGGCCACCTGTGGACCAAGCTGTGGGGGAAAAGCGGAGAGCGGAGCGAAGGGTTCGATTTCGTGAGCCAGAAGAAGTCATTGAACATGGTATGCTCAAGCGAGCAGGAATTTTGGCGTGACTTTTCCAGCTTTTAGCATCCACTCTGTCTGTCCACATCAGCTTCCCCCTCTGATGATGTTCAGCTCAGCACAGAGCAGAGGATGGGTGATGTTTGCTCTGTGCTCTGCAGAACTGCTCTGGTCCATTTGCCTGCCTGCCCTGGGAGGACACAGGCTCCTGCCTCACGCTCAGCTGCTGTCACAGTGACTCCTGAGTCTGCCCCCACAGGGGACATTGTACACCCTGGGCCTGGCTGGGCCCCAGGGCTTCCCCAGAGCAAGGTTTCCACTCAGACCAAATTTAAACATAATTATGTCACTGTGGGTAACTAGCATGGCACAGAATACAGCAGCAGAGGTCTGAGCCTAGCGGCCAGGATGTAATAACTTCTGCCAACAAAGGCACCCAAGGACTGACACCGCTAACAAAACCTCTAGTCTTTTCATTCATGAGCCAAAATATTGCAAGTAGGTCAACTGGGAGTGACCTTCAGCAGAGGTCTGGCACAAGGATCCAGTTTGCAATTCTGCACGTGCTGAATGCCATACCAAATAATAATTGGTGTTACCTTCTGACTTTCCCAAACCCATCCAACCAAGAAAATTGTATTTATTGGTAGAGAACTAAAATTTTATGGGTTTTATATGTCAGTTGGTCAAAACACAGGTGGCAGAATGGTAAAATTTCTATGTCAGCCACCTGTTTGGACTGCTGCAGCTTCTGAAAATAAATCTTGGCATCTGCTGTGCCTATAAACAAAACTCTCATTTGTTTGGCAATACGTTGTTTGGGATGCATGAAGGGGAAGCTGATAAGCTTGTTGACATGGCCTGGGCTTTCCCACCAAAACTGAACTCCTGGAGAGACTCAGTGAGCCAGCCTAACATTCCTCGAAGCTCATCTGACTGCTCAAGAGCAGGATTCTGATGGGAATGAATAACTGCCTCAGTTCTCTGCCAGAATCCATGCCCCACATCAGCACTGGGAATGCTGCAGTCAGTCCAGCCCAGGGGACCAGGGTGGTCTCCCCTGGCTCTGGCTTCAGCAAAGCCACGCTGGAGCTCGTGCAGGGAGATGAAAGCATGGAGATGACTCTGACTCTTTGTCATAGAGACATGAGAAATGTTCCAACCCATCATTAGTATTCTGTGTTGCAAACAGTCTGTGATTTAGATTATTTGCTGTTTGTCCACACAATATTACTCACATTAAGGCTGGTAAAATGAAGGTTTCTGGCACCACTGAAATTTTTCCGTTTCCAATCCAGGACTTTTCATCCTGGATTGTGTCTGGACCTGGCTGCCAAGCAGACACATTTCCAAGATATTGTTGATGAAAGTTATTCTGACAGTGCTTTCTTGACTTTATTCTTTCAGCCTGCTGGTCTAAATCCTTTCCTTTCTAGGAATTATGTGGAATAGGGAGGGGTTTTAGCAGAGCTGTTTCTTGACCTCCCTGCAACAGCAGCAATCCTGCCTCTGAATTCTTGCACACAATAATTTTTCCTCACTTTCCTGAAGTGCACCTGCATCTGCATGTTTGCATGGGTTGGGTAGATCCTCACCCAGAGCCAAAAGTAGTGTAAGAGGTTGCCCAGCATCTCCAAGGTGCCAGGCAATTTCAGAGGCACTGCTGGGTTCTGGCTTTTCTTGTTCACCCACTGCCAAGAGATCATTCCAGGCAAGTAAAAACATTTTCATTTTGTTTTCTAGTAATTTCCTGCTGTGACTACGTAGTGGGTAAGTTGAATTTTTCACATTATAACTGTGAGCCATCCACAGCATTAACCTGAGTTTGCTTTTGCAGCTGGTGGGATGCACTGTGCAAATAGACCCTCCATATACACAGCAGTTTGTGTTGTCAGTGGTTGCTGCTTTTTCTTCTCAGCATAAGCAGCACAAGGTGCTGATGAGATCTGGTGCAATTTTAAACAAGACATCTAGTAAGACAAATAGTGGAAACAAAAATTAAATCCCTGAAGCTATTTTTAATTTAAATATAATTAATATATTTTATGGCATTAGAATAGGTACAGGTTTCTCACTAAGATATGCAGGGAAAGCACCCCAAGCTAAACAATAGTTCTCCCTGCTGAGTTTTGTATGAGGGGAAGAGGCAATTCATTTATATGCTATCAGCAGGGTAGAAATAATAAAAATAATTGGGGGTTTTTCTGGGGTTTTTTGTGGGTTTTTTTTTGTTTTGGTTTGGGTTTTTTTTTTTTTGTTTTTTTTGGTTTTTTTTTTGAGGCCTGGCAGCCTCGCAGACCCCAAGCACATGAGTGTGTCTGGATATTCTGATGATGGTGATAATTTCTAGAGGGCCTGGGCAACATGCAGCCCCTCTGTAGGTAGTGAAGGGGAGAGGGGTACCTATACACATGTATATATACACACACAGAGCTGTAGTTTTGGGAGGCCAAAAAGCCTCTCAGGGAGATGTCCCCATATCCCTCAGCTTTTGCTCTTGTCCAGGAAGAGGGGCTGTATGCTCATGACAATGGAAGCATCATCTAGGGCTGTTATTGGGCTACAAACAGGGTACTAGAGCCAGAAAAGGGCCTGGGGGAAAAGCAAAGATCAAATATTCTTCAGGGCATGGTGGAAATGTGTACCCAAGGCAGGAACTGAAACAAAATTTCCTGTATTCAGGTCCAGTGCTTTTCTCAGATGAATTGCCATGAGACTGGGCACATGTCTTCCAACAAGCAATTTAACTAACCAATTTAAGCATTAAAATTCTAATTGTAATCTAGAAAAGCAAATTTGATTTTCAACACCTAAATGTAGTGACAGGCTGAAGCTCTTATGTGCACAGCTCATCACAATTTTGCAGGTGGAATTACTCTTCTGCATTATTTTTTTCTGTTCATGGATAGAGCATGTTTCATAACTGAGAGGATATAAGGAAAGTCCAGTTTTACATTTGAGCTCGCCCAGAAATTTCCCATGGAAAGCAACTTTTTAAAAGTTGAAACAGGTTACAAGCACTTCATATGAAAGGGCTGATGTGAAAAGCTGTTCAGCTTCCACAGGAAGGTTTCCCTGCTCCCACGTGTGCTCATCAGCCAAGCCCCACATTGGAAAAGGCAGGTGGGGCACCCAGTAGCTGTAGCCTGTGGTGTGGGAAATCTCACCAGGGAAACACCAACTCCCAACTAACAAATCTCTGCAAAACTAGAAAGTGGTGAGCAATTCCCTGGCTAAACACCTTCATATCAACCCTTCATAGAATAACGCCAAATAAACAAATTTATAAAATCTGAAGCCTGCACATGGAAAATTTGAAAACAGAAAGAAGGGCTAAATTCAAATGAATAAATTACTTGCTGCAAATAATTCACTCAGATCTATTATGGGACATTGATTTGGTTTCTGGTTAGCTATAAAATGACTGCCTATTAACATTTTACCTTTTCCCCATACACTTTTTGATACATTATTATGTGTTTCTGGCTTGGTTTTATGACTTTTACCTTCCTCTCTGTGCATCTGTATGACAGTTTAATTGACTGGTGTGTATTCCAGGGCTCGGAGTAGAAGCTAATTTAAATATGTTACAGCTAATGTTGGCCCTTTACCCATAATAATACACTCCACATTTTTATCTCCTTATTGATTATGTGCATATGGCAGGAAAATAGCTGCACACTATGGGTTTTATTCAGGCATGAATTTGGCTTTATGCTGCATGTTTAATACTCTAAGTGCTTTATGAAATAGTGCCGACTGTGCAATGGCCATGCAGGCAGCCTGAGCAGCCAGAGCTGAATCCAACTGGATCCCCAAGGCCCAGGGATGGATACACACAGCCAGGGACTGGGACACAGCTGAATGCAGCCCTCGGATTTTCACATGTGTGCTGTGCCCGACCTGCAGCACTTTAAACATGTTTGAAAAAATATTTTGAAGGCAAGGAAAAATCTTTACAGTATCCTCTTGCTGAAGAGCAAGTGCAGAGCATGTTCTGGTGTAATTAGCACACATAGCACTCTGAGGGTGGTTCAAACTGCCAGAGCTTTCTGAACATGCCTCTTGGTTAAGGGAGCCATGTTTGGGTTCTTCCCATTATTAGCCCCAAACAAGCTCATTTACCAGGCAAAAGGACAGAAATCTATAGCTTCTCTCTTTTATGGAGCATTTGTGAACATTAAATAATTAGACCAAGTAGCTTCATATTCTCCTAGCCTTCAACTTAACACTTAGGGTGAAGGTATAAAAAATAATTGCTGGAGGGGAAGTTGAGATCATGCATTAGCTATGCTAATCCTGTTCTTATTGTATGTAATTAAACTCTTTAAATGCTCCATTAGATGATATCTTTCATACTCACCACCTTCCATCAGGAGGTGTGACTCACTATCACTTAACTGATGCCTGCAGAAGTGCTCACCACCAGAGCCCTCTGTACCCTGCTGCTGCCAGAACTCTGGGACAAAGGCATCAGCAGGGGATCAAATTTAGGAAGCGTTTAAGATGGCACTAAAATAATGCTGCTTTCTTTTTTTCTCCTCATCGCCATTCAGCAGATGACAGGACATCATCTGGATTGCCTGTGCTCCTGTGGCTCCTGTTTTGTACAGTGCTGATCCTTGCTGTGAGTCTCTACTACACCAGCATGAAGCAAGATGTCACAGTCCTGGAGGAATTTCAATCCCGACTTGTCATCTTCTTTCTTCACATAAGACACGTTGCTCAGAGGTGCTGGACTTGGTTTCTGAGGCAGTAGCAGTGTCCTCCAGCCTGACACTGCTAAGAAACATCAGTGCAAAGCTCCCAGCCTACTGCAGCCACATGCAAGGAACACATGAGCATCCACCTCAAAGAGCAAGGAAATCACCCCTGCTGTGCACCATCCAGCAAACACTTGTTCTCCTGTTTCCTTCTTTGTTGTTTTCCTTTGTTTCCCATCAATGAACATTCATACTAATGCCTTGAGGTCCCACCAAACTCATGTTCCATCCACCCTGAAGAGCAAACAAGTATCTGGATTTGGTTACCCAGAGTTTATAAGCTGCTGATATGAGGAGCAAAAGCGGAGAGAGAAATACATTGATCTGTGCAGGCATCAGCAAACTCACAAGTCTTGTGAGTCTCGGGTCAAGGCTTTAGATACCAAACCATCTTTCTCCTCAAGTCTCCTAAGAATTATTCTGCAAAGGTTAAAATAAAGCTGAGCTATTGCACAGACACTGCTCTGCTGGCCAAAGGCTTGGCAAGCTGCTATATTTATACACCTGAAACAATTATTAGTAAAATCCCAGCAAATGGCTTTCTTGTTTCCTTTCATGCATTTTTTTCATCCATGGGCAAAAGGCTGGTTCTTAATGCTTCACTTGACTCCCAGGTGTAGAAAAGAACAAGAAAACTCATTTCTTGTTCTTTTCTACAAATAAACAGAAAATAGTTTATTTGCCTAAGATAATAAATAGCAGCATTGAAACCCAGGTTAATCATCAAAACAGTAGTTTAATCCTGTGGGCTTGATTCAGTCCATAAACCCCACAGGCTGACATGCAGGATTTATGATAGTGCTTGTATTCAGACAGAGGTTATGCCTGAGTATTCAAGGCCTTATATCATGATAATATGGACTGCTTATGAAGGTGTGGAATGCAAAGTTCCTTTATCATTATCCCACCATCCTATGCATTTCTCTGAAAGGAATCCTTTTAATGGAGATCATGTGAAACGGTGCTCTGGCTATCTGAGAGGAGAACAAATGACTGCAAGTTCATGAGCTTCAAAGAACCAGCACAAACAGCTTTTTAGATCTTAGATTCTGCTCAGCTAGCACCTGATGTCTGCCTGGGGTTATTTACTATGGTAAAATTGACATCAGAACCTGTAAGTAAAAGAAAAAGAGGAAAAAAGTCGGGGGGGGGGAACACTGTAGAGAAGATAAAGAGATGTCTGCAAGACCTTGGCTTATATTCCCCCTGCCATTGCAACCATCAAAAAGAAAAAAATGGTGCTTTATTTCTAGTTATTTTTTTAAAAGAGGGCCATGCATCTGCCCCAGCAACCTTCTCCCAGGCAGCCCAAGAACTTTAACCAGGAGAGGATAAACAGGAACACAACGTGCAATCTCCTCTCCGGAGAAGAGGGGGCAGCAGCTTGATTGAGAACAAGTCAGAAAAATTGCAGCCCAAGACATAAAGAAGTGCCTTCAGTGGCTCCTCTTATGCCTCTCCTAAGCTGTCAAAGCCACAGGCAGGCATTGGACACGGGCTGGCCTGGAGAGCAGAGGGTGCTCAGGGAAGCAGAGGGTACTGCAGGAGCAGGGTTTGGCTCAGGGGGTTGTGTGCAGATCACTCAGGTACCCCAGCTCAAAGGGTGAGTCCCACCCCTGCTTCCCTCCCTTCTACCCTGTCTCAGCCCTGCTGTTTAGGTAATAAAGAAGAAAGGTTTTAAACCTGTGTGCTGGTGAATCTCTGGAGGAGAAGGTTTAGATTGGTACCTGCATGGGGCAGGGGGGTAATTTCAGCTTCTCTTTGCATTTTTTGATTGTTTGTGATCTGTTTAATGTCCAGGTTGAAACTCTTTGGCAAGTGGTGTTTCTTTTTGGCTCTGGTCTGACTCCTCCTAGGACTGTGAGGGAAAATGTGGAGGTGGTGTGAAGACCCCACATGTGCTCACCTTCCTGCACAGCTCCCCAGGGGATGGACAGAGGATCACCTTTACACTGAGCCTGCAATGAAAGGAAAATGTCCCCATTCCTCTTGTTGGGGCACAATTTATTGGTGTGAGTGAGAACTGCTATCACATCTGGGCTGCCAGGGATATTTAGCAGAGGAACAGCTATTTTTGGCTTTTGTGTTGGCTCTGTTTGGGACTGTTTTAGGCATGGGAAAAGGCAGCACTCGAGTTATCTTGAGACCACTGTGGAGGTCTCACCATGGCTTTACAAGGTCTCATGGGTCAGGATTGTTTACTGTGGTCAGTCAGATACTTGGCAGGCAGCAGAGAGCCAAATTAAAATTGCCTCCAAGCCAGAAGGTTTGAAATAAATGAAGGCTAAAACATTTTTCTGGCAGAGTGGTGGCATCTTGTAGGTGAAGAAACCGAAGCTAAGGCCATTGCATGTGGGAGTGAATGAAGTGGGTCAATAACATGACTGGGAATAGGAGACAAAACTCCAGCTCCTGGGCCTACATTTCTTTACTGCTGCACAACTTCACTGTGGACTTACCTCTTTTATTTCCTTCTCACACTGAAGCTCTTTTTCCATTCATCCATACTGCCTAAACACACACAACCCCTTTTCCCTCTCTGCCCCTTCATTCTTTAACCATCACAGCTTTATCCTCACCACTGTGAGCTGGATGTGATTTCTCCTTATTCTTGTTCAATGATGCTTTTTCTGGGCGTGATACCTTTATGAGTTTGGATTTCTAAAGTCAAATAAAATTATCTGTGGTGGGTAATAATCCCTTTGTTGGCCATGCTGGGCAATATTTGCCTTCAGTACCACTCCTGAGAATTTCCCAATAGAGGCAAAAAGGAAATTTATTGCAAACAATGGAGATGCTCACCTGAATTCACACTGGAGCCAGCCTGGTGAATTACTTCAGATGTCAGAAGTGCTGCAGCCAACCAGCTCTGGGCAAGTGTATAATAAAGCTTGGAAATGGCTGTGTTTTAGATATAAAGGGCTGAAAGAGGGAGTGATGTAGGACAGGACCTGAGGTGCAGTTTTTGAAGCAGACAGTGGTAGGAGGCATTCCTAGGAGCAGTGGTTGGGGTGGCAGGAGACAAGAGGCCAGGAGAGAGCAGCAGGTCTGGGCATGACAGTGGACTAATTGCAGTCCCTAACGGTGGAAGTGCTGCTTAAATTCCCTGATGCAGTGAGTATGTAACTAACACAGAGCAGAAATAAGCAGACCACAACAGAAGGGTGTTGTTTTGACAGTGCTCAGCCCATTCCTGCAGTGTGAACGGATGGAGGGCAGCTGCCAGCACCCTCTTCAGGCACATCCACAGCACCTGATTGCAGCAGCAGCAGTATCCATACCCATGTGATTAGAGGAGATAGCAAAAGACACAGAGACATGACACTGGATGGTTTTGCATTAACCTTTTGATGCACTCAGCATTAGCACCAGTGAAAGGCAGTCCCAAAGACTGCCTCGAGTCCCCTTCCTTCATTTCATCTCTCCAACGCTGATAGTCTGGAAATGAGCCCATAGCAGCAGTTGCAATTGTCATTTCTGCCTTTTGCCACTTAGAAGCAAGCAGAAGAGCTGGCAGCTTGTGGCTATAAAAGGGTGTTACCAACTGCCTCCAAGGAATAACTCAGGAACCTAGTAGATAATAGTGTGCACTTGTTTCTTATTAATTCTTTGCTGCAAGATATCTGTTGGGAACCTTTATGCCCACTGCTGAAGAGAAAGACTGATGCTACACGAAGGAAATTAACCAGCTGGCATTTAAAAAAATGGCCTGTCCATGCAGCCTGTGGTCTCCCCTTACATTTGGTAACAAACCAGCTGCGTGTTGACACAGGACCATTTTCTCCTTGTCTCCAATGGCATTAGGGTGAACTGCTGGAAGAGGATACCAAAAGGGCTCAGGCAGCTGAGGATGATTGGGCATACCCTTATCTATACAAGCTGTGGCATGGAGATGCTGAGGAATGACTACAAAGATTCTATCACTGACTTTGAGAACATTTTTTAAAATCTTATATTGTAACAATTTAAACTCACTTTCAAAGAACAGGCACAAAAACATTGACTTTTCAAATAATTTATTTTTATATTTCACCAAATCATAAAAAGCCGATGCACTGTTCAGCAAAAAGCATCAATATATAAAACACATTAACTCATTATCAGTAATGCTGGAGAGTACCACATACACTGAACCCAGTCCAGCTCCTAAAGCCACAGGAGCAAACTCAGTGACTGCACTAGCAGAAGGACTGGATTCAGCATTTTTCTTTGCTGGGTGTTTACAAAGGGCTGTATTAAAATGCTAGTAAAAAGCTTCCCTTTTGAGACTGTATCAAAACAATAATAAATCTCACTCCCTTTCTGGTTTTGTCAAACACATGCAATTGAAGCAGTCATTACACTGCAAAAGATCATACAAATAAACAGAGATAATATTCAAAACAGGCCAGGCTCTACCCTCAGCTTGTGTGGACTGGTGTGGCTGCTCGCAGGATAATCTATGTACACTGGTGAAGGATCTGCTCCTCACCTGCTTTCAGTGGTTAAACAAATTATGAAAAAGTGTTCTGTTTTCTCCCCAAATACCCACTGTAGGAACCTCTTAAGCAGCATTAAAAAAAAATAAATAGATAATCTAGACTCTTATAAAGCTTTTCCCAGATGGCTGTAAGAGACAGTAGCTCATGAATTCATACATCAGAGGACACATTTCCGAGAGGCTGAAATGCTTTCAGGCTCTGCACTGACTTACAAGCGAGAAAGATCTGCTTCAGATCTTTGCAGGTGGTACCACACAAAACTACTAAACCCTTTAAAACTATGGGTGCTACTGAGCTACCCTCACAAATACCAACTCTACAGAGATTTGGGAACAGTCCTTCCTTCCCTGGGCAATCAAGAGCTGCACCAGACCAAGGGCCTGTGTAGGGCGTCTGTATCTGCTTTCCTCCAAATCTGCTTTCCTCCAAACCTTTACACCAGATACCTGCACAGCTGGCACAGGTGGCTCTCTCCTGAAGCTGACTTTAGGTCAGCACATGCTTTGTGAGACCACATGAGCAGGTAAGGGCTGAGCAGGCCAAGCAGAGGCTGAAATTGGTATCAATACCACTCCCTCATGTCACAGCCCAAAAGCTGAAATTCCTCACAGGAAATGCACTGACACCTTATTACCTATTTCTGTTCAGACTGATGCCACTGTCCTGACACCTCAGCTGTCCTTGTCTCTGTCAGGAAGAGATGTGAAAAATAAGACCCAATCAGCTTGATAGCACTGAAATCCTCTCTGAAGTTTGCAGGAATGTTTTTGAAGATTGTAGGATTCAGAGAGAAGGAACTTCAGTGGAACTGTTGGAGTGTTTTGCTATTGTTGTTTTGGTTATAAGCATTCAAAAACCTCTCTGGAGTGTACTTCAGATCACAATATATTGATTTCTCAGTTGTGTAGCTTGGGCTGTTTTAATTAGAGTGTGTTTGACCAGAATTGCTCTGATGCCAGCAGCCTGCACTGGCTGTGGACCCCAGTGGAGTGGTTCCCCCACAGAAGGATCCTGTTGAGTACAGAGCTGCTCAGCACCACTGAGCAAAGGGACTGCCTGCTGCTCTCAAAGAATGTGGTTTAATAAGGAGGCTGCCAGCAGCTTATGAAGTCAAATGCTGGACCCTGTTTCAACAGCCATGGTTAAAAGTGTTGCAGCAGCCTAGAAAGTGGAATGGATTCACTGATGCAACCCAGATCCTGTGTGTTCCAGGAAGTTGTGCTGCCTTTCAGACACAGACTGTTGGTCTTCACAGTGTTAATTGGGAGAAATAACTCTCTCTGCTGCAGGAGAGATGGGGTGAAGAGTTCTGGACTGTGTAATGTGGGATACCATGACAGTTTTCAAACAGTTTTTTATAGTTTAACATAGCACTCATTTAATTCCATCAGGTTCCTGGAGAGACTGGTGGCACCAGCCTTGGAAACCTCCCAGAGCAACACATCACCCAAATCAGGCCTGGCTTATGTAAAGGGAAGGGTTCAGTGGCATGATCCAGAGAGGCTGAATGAGAACAGGGAAAATCCTTGACTGCTTTTCTTAATTTTTGGACAAAATTTTCCATAGAGATTGCAATTTTTCTCATATTCATAAATACACTTCAGTCTGTATCCACAGTGGAGTTAAATTTGCCCAAATCTAGGGGAAAACAAGGAGAAAATAAGGAGATGTAGACTAGTTTAGTCTCAGGACAGTTTACTCACTTGTGTGAGAAATCATCCAAGATACCAAAGTACTTACAAATCATCATTCTCACCTCTTGGCAGGTTGGCTCAGCCCTCACTTTACAACACAGTCAAGTGGCAAGGGGGAACAAAAGCTTCTCACATTGGGTTTCTACCACATACAAAAAATTCCAGCTATTTCAGTGAGCAGCTCTTGCTTCCAAGTTATCTCCTTGATAAACACCAGAGCCAGCACGCTAAATAATTGTTATTTAGGAATTTCAAGCCAAGCAGAAGAGCTCCAGCGGGAGGATTCAAGGGGGATCAAGGATAACCTTTCATGTCTAACGAATTGCTGTTCTTGTCTTTTTATTTTGGTGAGAAAAAAATAAATTAAAAAAATCCCAAACCAAAATTATATCATTATTTGATCAATGCAAAGTGCTATTCACACAGCACTTCTTGGGTACTTATGCCAGTTTTTTTAGCAATGAGGATTTGACAGCAAGCTAATAAGCATTAAATCCTAAATCCTTTAGCTGTCTATGGAAATAGGATTTAGCCTCTCACATGGATTCAGGTTTTTTTCTCTACTGTGTGCAACAACAGTTCAAGCAGTTATATCAGCTGTGAGAGGTAGAGGTCTTTAAGCACTCGTGTGAATACATTCACATTCATCTATGTTTGCAATAGCAGTTCAATTACACTCTTTGGCATGGACCAAAAAAAGCTAAAGAGAAAGCATGGCTATGCTAATACTCTTCTCAACAACAGGATGGAAAAACATTATTCATAAAGTGTCTGCACTGAAATAAAGCAGTACTTGCTATACCTAAATAAATTCTGTTCTAACCTTCTGTTTGTTCAGAAACAAATGATAGTTCTTCTGAGTGCAGTTCTCTTCTATATCAGGAGAGCATGAAAGTGCTGCTTTCTATGCAGTTCTTAACTTCATAAATCACTGAGTTAAATTTTGTCCATTTTAAAAACATCCATAATAAAAAAAAAAACCATTATTCATAAAGTGTCTGCACTGAAATAAAGCAGTACTTGCTATACCTAAATAAATTCTGTTCTAACCTTCTGTTTGTTCAGAAACAAATGATAGTTCTGAGTGCAGTTCTCTTCTATATCAGGAGAGCATGAAAGTGCTGCTTTCTATGCAGTTCTTAACTTCATAAATCACTGAGTTAAATTTTGTCCATTTAAAAAACATCCATAAAAAAAAAAAAAAAAAAACAACTAGATGCATATATGTGAGTACTAAAGTACAACTCAGGATAGCTTTCCTCCATCTTATGGAGGACAAAAATAAAAACATGTACTTCAAGGCACTAGGGCCATGAACAGAAATAGTTTGAAAACAATTTCTGTGCTTATGAAGTTACATTAGCATTTTGTCACTGCAGGTAAAGCCTTCTTTTTTTCCCAGATTGTCTAACCAGAAGGAAAGGATATTTGTGGTCTCCAAAGCAAACATTCCAAGAGATAAAAATGGGCTCTTTCCATCAGCAAAGGAAATGGTCTGAGGCACAGATTTAGGATCTGGACACAGCCAGGATGCTCATTCACTCAAGGATACTCAGGCCATTGATACAGAAAAAAACCCAAAAGTTTTGTCATAACCCAGATTAGTTTTTCACAAAGTACTGCCAGTCTTTCTAGTATAAATTACTGTCCAGATTTTTGCTAAAGTTATAATTTAAATGGTAGAAGTGATTTTACATGCAGTATGTTTGAGAAGTCTCTGAAAAGGGGAGATGACAAATCCCACATACATCCAATACCAGGTTTGTGTGCAATGTGACTGTAAAGTGTGAGCTCCTCTTCCTTGCATCCTGAACACTGCATAGGTTAAATCAGCAGTGTTCCATACTGGGGAGGGAAGGCCTTGAAGGGAAATCTGATTCTGTTCCTAACTGGACTCATTTAGGGTAGCAGCAGGACGTTACTCAAATAAAGGGGAGGAATTGAAACACCTGCAAACCTGCATTAGAAACTCATCTCAGCCTTTGGGAGGTTATGCATCGGCCAGTGCTTTCCCACTCTGCCCACATCAATTCCACCTCTGGCTATCAGAACCATTGTCACTGCACAAGTCCCAGTGCTGAGTAAAAGGAAATGTAGAAATTTAAGGCATTCTAACAGCTACATCAGCCAAAGCTGCTTGGTTAGAGAAGAGCCCATATCCACATCACAGAAGAGCAGTGGAACTGGCATTTATCTGTGTGCATTGTACATACACAGAAAATGCTTTCATGACAAGGTCTGTACACTCCATCATCCATCACTGGTTATTGTAACACCTCCTTTTTTAAGGGACCACAGAATCGCTGCTATAGTATGAATGTGTCCTTCAGTTTTTACAGTTAATCATCATGCTCTTATTTTTGTGATTCCCACTGAAATTTCCCAACTGAAAGATGCCTCATGAGTTAGTGGTACAGGATGTTTTGTGCATGAATGCACTCATGAGGAAGTTCTGTTCCAAAAGATGGCTCCGATTGTTTCTCCATTATAAAAAATAGTAAGAAACAGCATTGATCTAAAAGCTCAGATAACACTTGTTAGCTTAGATTCTTCTAGCCCAATGAGGACTGCTGGCAGGGAATTGGTGGGGAATTGAACCACAGATGGTAGCCAGAGAATATATTTGGTACAACAGGATAATAGTGTGGCAACAGCCCAGTGCCTTTGAAAGGCCACAAAGGTTTTTCCCCTTGCACCATGTGACAATAAATAAATAAATACGAGTATAAGTACCACACAGCATTCTAGTTCTTTGAATACAACTCTAGCTAGAGTGTTCCCTGCCTTTGAACATGGCAAATTAAAGGTATTGAAATGTCACAGAAATGCAAAATTTGACTCAGCCCCACAATGTGCTAGTTGGCAATGGGTGACTAAAATCAGACATCAGAAATGTACAAAAGAGAGAAGTGCATGAGAGGGAGCACAGGTAGGTATGTATGTGTGCATAAATTATACCAGAATTCTAGCACATTTCCAGCTTGGCATCACCAGCCTGGCCTGAGTGCCTAAGCTTTAGGAGAAAAGGTTGCAGAAAACTTAGGGCAAATAAAAAATACCAAGTGTGTCCAAAAACTGGGAGTCGCAGGATACCCTCCCTCTCCTTGGGTCAGCCAGAGAGCTTCTCACTATGCGCTCTGCCTTCTGACTCACACAGGGGCTTCCATCAAAAGCAGCTTTGCTTTTAAGCATCACTGATGCTTGCAAGAGGGTACCAGTCTCATCCCACCTGGTCAAGGCAGGGAAGGTGTGAAAAACTGACATGGGAAAGCTGTGAAAAACAGTCCCATTCACATGGGACTCATAGAAGAGCTTCAGCCTCTTTTCATTTTGCATGACAACTCCAAGCCCAGGACCAGTGTTTGCTACTTCTCATGGAAGTGGAAAGGAGGAAAAAGACCTTGAGACAGGAGAGGTAGAAGAGAGCATGAGCTCCAGAGAGCCTCGCCCACAAGCAGCATCCTCTCTTTCAGAAGCAGAGACAAGGCTTGGGCCCTGGTACCTCAGAGCGAGAACCACAAGAAGACATTTGTTATCTTCTGTCTCATGGTTCTTCAAACCCTCAGGCAACACCAGGAACAGTGGTCCCCACCCACACCTCACTTCAGCCTAAGCCTGATTTGGCATATACATAAAATATATTATACAAAGCAGCATCCTGGTTCCACACAAGGAGTAAGGCATGCACTGAAGTAATTTGTGGGAAGAGACATCACTGCTGAGTGAAAGTGAGACTGCCTTTTACAACTGGAGAAACTGGGAAAACAGCCTAACTTAAAAGACCCAGGCTCTTCTTGGTATGAAGAAGGTCATTCCCTGGCAATGAACTCAGGTACCTGCAAAAGTGTATCTCCTACTAGAGACAGAGTATTGGGTTGAAAAAGACCTCTAGGATCATCCAGTCAAACCATTAACCTGGCACTGCAAAGGCCACCACTAAACAATGTCCCCCAGTGCCACATCTACCTTTCTTTTAAATATGTCCAGGGAGGGTGATTCCTCCCCTTCCCTGGGCAGCCTGTTCCAGTGCTTGACAAACCTTTCAGTGAAGAGACTTTTCTTAATATCCAAAGTATTAGACCAAATGAATTTTAAAAAGGCACTCTGACAGTCTTGATATCTGAATTTTAAGTTGGCATTCATTAACTTGATCTCTGATTCCCTCTCCAGGAGTCCTCCTCTGATGTCAGCTCCCAACTATAAAAAAAGACACTGCTGCAAAGCTTTCAAAGGAATTGCATTCTCTTGTGGGCAGAAATCATGCTGAAGGGCAAAGCCTCTCTACAGAGAGCTGTGGCCAGCTGGGGCTCTGAGCAATGTTCACAGGACTGGCTTACTGCTTAAGGCCCACGGAGGAGTCTATAAGAACATTTTGGCAGTTAAATACTATGTCAGATTTTATGCCCTAAAATGCTTAATAATTGAGGGATTTGTCACGACACCAAATTCTGTTTCAATGAAATGCTTAAGCTGGTACTTAACTAAGCATCAGAGAGTCCCTAGAAGACAACAGTAAATCTGCATGGTTGTGCTAACCCCAGGCTTGGGCTCTGATGTGGTAGAAGCCTGCTGTCCTCTCTCCCCTCATTCTGATTTACCAGGTCATATAATCGTGTGTGGTTTGCACTTCTGTTACAATAAATTCAGTCTCCACTCAAACACAGGTACCACAGGCAGTGTCAGCATACTCCCAAAAAAATCTTCAGTCCAAACTTAGTTGTTTTCTTAAGTTTTCTGCTGATTTGGGGTCTTCTGTGCAATGTGCACCAGGGGATAAATGCTGAATCCCAGCACAGCTTTACTTCTCTGCCGTGCAAATCCCACACTCCTCTGAGTGACTCTTCTTAATTATCAGAGCTACATCTGATCTCAACAATCCACCTGATTTGTTGAAGCACTGGCCAAGCAAAACTGAAAGCAACAACACAGTCACCAGTGAGCTTTGTGTAAACAGCAATTCTTCTTCCTTTTCACAGCAAAATTCATCTGCCCTGGAACTCCTGCCCATGAGTGGGGAGAATGGACCCAATCAGCACTGAACTACCAATAAAATAACTCAGCTGTTTGAACTCCTTGCTATGTTTATATAGAGAAACCTACGATGCAAATGCTTACAGTAATTTTGCATATTCTATATGAAATAAATATCACAAATAAATTCCAATATTCAAAACAGAATAGTATACAATGTTAGGGACCAAGTTACATTTATAAATGCACAAGCATAAATACTATCTATTCAGCTTAATTTCTTAGTATGCAAGCTTCAGCAATTTCTAGCTACACTTCACTTCAGGAGTCATAATAAATGCTGCTCATGCCAAAATCTAAGATGAAACAAATCCACAAATGTTCTCCGTCATCTTCCATATTATACACAGTTTTTGACAGGTGGTATAATAATATACGAGTTTCATGGAATTCATTAACACTGTCCAATACCAAATATCAAGTCTGGAACACAGGTCTCTATGTTTGAAATAAAATCAGAGCAGGAGCAACATGTTTGTCAGCACTGCATCCACACACAGCGAAAGCAGAGACAGCGAGAGCCCACACCCCAACCAGAGCTGCAGCTCCCCAGGGTAAAGGCAGAGCAGGGGCAGCTTCACTGGCAAAAGGGAGGAGAGGGACACAGGAGGGACTGAATGCAGATCCAGTTACAACTGCTTTTGAAGAATAGTTTGAAGAAATAGCCGGGATGCTGTAGCCTGGTCTTGCCAGCTCAGTCCTCAAAAATGGCCCCTGTCCCAAAAGCCAGCGATGGCACGTGGGAGCTCTGCTGACAAGGGCAGGTTACAAATTTTGTCTGCACAGGACAGAAAGTTTGCTGTGCCATAGGCACATAGGGCAGTTCATCCTCTTTATCCTAATATCAGTATTTCTGCCAACAGTTTCTCATGGGGGAAGTGAGTAATTCACAATTACATTTCATTTCAGGAAAAGAAAAGATCTCACACACTCAATACCCTGACTCAGCTTCAGCACACATTACTGAATAGTAAAATCTAGATCCTGCCCTGGAAATTTGCTTACACTTTAGATCATGCCACTTTTGTCATCTTGCAAAGAAGATCTTGAAGGGGATCTTCCTAGCAACAGCTCCTTCTCATGGATCAGGCTATCTAGCAGATCCTCCTGTCTGTAGTTGTGATAAACTTTCAGGAAAGCCAGAATGGTAATTGCCAGCCAAGTCAGCCAGGCAGCCCAGAGACCAAACTGGAGAAGGAAAGAAATCATAAAGAGGTCAGTACAGTATTGTGAGAACAAAGGCAGTTGTCCAGGTGATTATGCAAACCTCAGCTGGACCAAAACCCATGGAGTCATGCCAATATAAATCTAGAGACATCATGGGTTCTTCATATAAAGGAGTCACTTTTCTAGCATATTCTTTCCTAAATGTAGTTATGCCTGAGCTGGGCATCTAGATGCCAACATTGGCAACAAAGACAAAAAAACTGGCTCATGCCCAAGAGGCAGGGTTACCTTCAAGGAATGTTCCAGGCAGGCTAATGCCTCTTTCCACCTGGGGCAACATAAGCCTTTGTAAGGGTGCAGCCCTGCAGGGATGCAAAATTAGTATGTGCTCATGTCCCAGTGTTCACTGACTGATCATTGACTTACAGCTAGAATATTCAATAGAAAGGTCTGACAGCCTTTGAGGTCTAATTCTCATGGATTCATCAGAAAACAACCCTATATGAATGAATCAATCTTTGATTCTTTTCAATGGTCTGATATGTATGTAGCTTAGGTGATCTCAGTTAAAGTTAAGGAAGGTAAAACTAGGAACCCCACAACATGGTGCAGGTCAGAAATTATTTTGAACAGTAATGAAGAGATCCAGGACACCAGAGTGCTGCAACTTTTGCAGACCTAATCCTTTGGATGAACAAATGAGTTTTCTGTCATGATTAACAAGATCAGTGGTAGGGTGAAGCTCTGACATACCTGTATTCAAAACTGTCTGTTTTGAATTTAAAAGGCAAATGTGCCCATCACTATCATTCTGATTCAGCACTTACTGAAGTCAGTGGAAACATCCCCATTGATTGCTGAGAATGGTAGTTCAGCTCCAGCAACCCCAGGTCAATAAGCAAATGGCAAATTAACTGGAATAGAACCATGACTTAGTCTGACCTACCTGTGCAATAGCAAATTGGTCATAGAAAGCAGAGTTTTCCAAGTTCAGCTCAAGATCTATATCCTGCAATTCTTCACAGCTACCCAGAAAGGCATTTGGAAGGGGGAAAAAAAAAAAAAGAAGAAAATTTAAGAGATTCTAGGTAAACCAAATATAAAATGAAACAACATATGAAACGTATTTTGAACAGTCATAATGGCACATTCTATCGAAGGATAATTAAGTTATTGCAATCATCAGGTTGTTTGCTGATCTTTTCTAAAACTAAGATAAGAATTACTTTATTTTACCAAAAAATTATGTAAGTGATAACACAAATCTTTCAAAAGTGGAATTGTACTATTTGTTATGAACACAGCATCCTTAAACCCCTCTTTCCCACTGCCCCTCACCTCCCACAGATTTGCCCCTGACATCACCCCAGGTTGGTTTTTTCACCCCTCAATGAAACGAAGTGTATGATCCTCTGTTACCTTTTGACTTCATCAGGAAAAGCCTCAGAAGAAGGAATTGTGTTTTTGTTTCAGATGCTCCAGCAAGGAGACGATACTCTGATGGTAAGATAGGGGCTGCCTACAGATTTTACAAATAACTTGGACCATTACTGGTGTGAAAAAAATCCCAGGATTTTGAGGTTGTCATTCTACCTCTTGGTTGATTTCTGCAGCCTCTTCTCTCTCCTTTTCAGTGCTGTCGGTCATCTTGGGTTCTTACCCGAATATTCGATTAGATGCTTTTTGTAATTGAATTTTTAACCGAATATTCGAGTAATTCGATTAATCGTTGCAGCCCTAAACAGAACATTCACTATGGCATTTTACAACATATGACAATGTGCAACACAAATGTATGCTTTAAGTAGTACATTTATTCGGTATCATATGACATAAAATGTCACATTTTCCTCTCCTGTTTGACAGGAGCAAATCTTCCTCAACTTATCATGTTTCCTATAAGGAGCACAAGCATTGTGGGATACAGTGGACCATTTTAGGAGCTGTACATTTTGTGACTGCAACAAAGCATCAGCCATCTGTACTTTGCTTTCCAATCTGTGGCTCTCAGGACATCCACAGCATCACTACAAGGCAAGGAATGTTTTGTCTGATGATGAGTTAGATGATGAGTTGTGGCACAGGCAGGATCAGTGACTTTCTTGGTGTCACAGAGTGGGTTGGGGGCAGAACCAGGATTGCAAGCCAGAAGCCCTGGCCCCCAGCCCCTTGTCCTGCTCACAAGGCCACACTCCCCCCATTCTTACAAAACCTCTAACTCTAGCATTCCTTTGGAAATAAAAAAAAATTAACACAATGGATTTGTTTTTCATGTGATCATGACCACAAAATATGATGGAAACACACTTTTCTTTGTGGGCTTCTAAATAAGGAAACAAAAAGAAATTTGATTTGCTTTGTTTTGTTCCACATGAAAAAACTCTGGATTTTCATATTACACATGCCTTCTCCCTCTTGCTCACCTTGCATGTAATAACTACACTTGTAACACCACAGCTCAATTGTGCCTATATGAAAAAAATAAAATGAATAAAATGTATTCTTCAATACTAACCTATTTGGCATGCTTCCTTTTTCAGTAATTGCATCACACCACATGTTAAATCCTACACTCACTATAGTGCTGGCAATAAATGTGATGAACACCACAAAGGCGCTGATCAGCAGATTCAGGAAGGCGTAAAAGAAAGAGCTGTAATAAAAGGGAAGAAAAATGTAACTCATAAACAGCTGAAACACAACATCAGCAGTCTCTGTAAGCAGCACAGAGTGGGCACAAAGATATCAGTTTCCATTTAAAACACATCTTTAATTAAGAACACCTAATACATTGAAACACTATGGACTTGATTTTGAGTCACACTACCTTCACTTGCAAATGCTTTTGATTTTGATTTCTTTTTTAACCATAAGAAGATGTGGCTTTATATAATAAGTGGTGATTGTTCATACACAATGTGGCTTTCATTAGCTGAAATGATGAAAATCACCACTGTTAAAATAAATGTCATTAGCTCAAATTATGTAGCAACTGCAGCTAAAATTATTTCATGACTTAAGTGATAATTGGGACAAAAATTGCTTAGAAGAGGGAAACTAAAAATAAAAACACAGAACTGATAGCTATAATCATTTTAAGCAATGTAACACAAGGTACTGCCATCACAGGACACGAACTTCAGTTTTATGGGCAATTTGCAGAGCAGGCCAGCTTCTCCTGGGATTTCTCTGGCTTTGGTGTCAGTATGCTATGTCTACCAGCTGAATATCAATTTATCTCAGCCCCATTAAATCTGCCCCACCAGGGCCTGCCCTCAGCACACACAGTGTTTGGAGTGGGATGGGTGGGATGCTTACAGATTTCCCATAAGGCCACGGAATCACTCTCTCATTTTCACTCTTTAACTCCTCACCTGAATTCTAGCTGTGAAAAGTTTCTAATCCCAGTCATCTGGCAAAGCCCTTCTCCACTTGAAACTTCTCTAAGTGGCTGTTTGGAATAGGACACCTTGGAATGCGACATTATGTAAAAACTGGACATTTGCTCCAGGCTGGAGAAAGACTGGCAGCTCCAGGAGGCAGGTCATCCTAGTCAGTGTGTGGTAAAAATGAATAAGACAAATTTCTCACCAGTGCTACTCATTGTGCTGGTGATGAATGAATCTACTCACCCCAGAAAAGAAAAAAACCCTCAGTCACTTCTTTTCCCTGGTTGCTCACCAAATGAAAAGCCAAGAGGCTTTTTAAATGAGTGTTTGAGTTCTGGAAGGTTCTGGGCTGAGAATCCTAATTTCTACAGATTATATGTGATACATTTGTGACCTCAGGAGAATTTCTTTAAAATGAGATGAGAAAGTAATTATCAGCAGAGTTAGGATTCTTGCTTCTGGGTTGGTGAGGCCTTAGAGGGACTGTCTAGGTTCTCTCCAAAGTGACAGCTGTCCAACCCCAAGACTGATAGAAAAGTGAAATAAATCACCTTCAAGAAGTGCCCCTATAGACTGCAGTGGGTGCTGGATGCCAGGACACCTGACTTCTGGATGAACAATAAGCTGAATCCTGCTCTGGTTTAGCTGGGCTTGGTGAAGTAGATCAGCTCACCTCTTCCGTGTGCTGGGGTCACCCACACAGTGAGAGCTGCTATGAGATACCAGATTTCTGCATGTTCTCTGCCCTGATTTCACAGCCAGCCTGGATTTCATCCCGAGTGTTGCTGAAGTCAGATCTCATCCTATCTGTGTGCACCTTAGCATGGCAGGCTGGCCTGAGAGGCAGAAAAGACTTGAGCTGTTCACAGAGTAAAACAGACCTGGAACAAGAATTAGCAACAGCTCTAGAAAAGGAGCAGTTACCAGGACTATTCAGTGGGTCATCACAGCCCAGGATCTTCAGCTCTCCTTCTCTTTCCTACCCTGCAGCAAGAGAGGTTCCATGGCCCAGGATCTGACCTTCCACTGACAAAGCAAGGCTCAGCCTTGCACTTGATTTGCATCTGGCAAAGAGTAACCATCACCAATGTCAGGGCATCCTGACACAAAACTGCTTATTTGGATCTCTAGATCATCTGATTTTTCCTCCTTAGATTAGAACTTCAAGCTATGCGTTGCAAACTGAGTGAATGTCCTTTAATAATAAGTGCTTACACTTAAAGTTTGTGTATCCATTGCAATCCTAGCAATGAAGTTATACCTCCACCCTTCAGCTGAGCTGAAGAGCCCCAGGCTGCTGAGGTAAGGGGTGCTGAGACCCTTTTAAGGTTTTTTGGTAGTCACAACTGCTAGAAAATAATCTGTCAGCAATCATTCAAAGCCATTGCACATGAAAGATGCAAAGGGTGCTAACTAACCCTGACTGCCTTGGCTGGCTCACCATGGAGTTGGCCCAGTAGCAGTGATCCTCCTCAACAGGATCCTCAGTTAGGACATTCTGGCTCTTCCTCAGCTACTGCTGAGGAGCTCACATTTATCTCTCCATACAAACAGAAATGTTTTTGCACCCATTTGAACTGTTAACAAATGGCTGTCTGAAATCAGGACAGTGTGAGCCCTGCCTGCTTTTCATATGGTGGCTGGTGTGGAACAGGACAGACCTTCCTTCTTCCCAAGAAACTGCTGTTCCCAAGCATCTTGCCATGTTGTACCCTCCTTGGTCTTCTGTGGTTATCTCATCATCCCAACTTGCTCCATCTCTGCTCCCCATCACCCAACAGCCTTCTGCCTTTCTTGCCTGGAGCAGCTATGAACAGTGTTATAAAACACCCGAAGGAGCCTGAAGGAGCTCCTAAAGGGACACTTTTCAGGGGCCTGCCCAACAGTTTTGAAGTTAACAGCCACTTTTGAAAGTAGGCCAAACATCTAATCCAAATGTCACAATTACAGGGTTTTTACTGCTGGTTTCTTCTAAAATTTAGCTAGCTCTGACTTGCAAAGCATTGAGATTCAATTAACCCTCTACAGATATTGGATCACCTGAGGAAACCAAATTCAAAGACATTAAGAAGTATGTGGTTATATTTAGTGTAAGGTGCGTTTTAATATGGAATAAGTTTCTGGTCCTCACTTACTACAGCATGTTTGAGTACTAGGCAGGTTGAGAGTGGTTGGAAAGAGCCAGAAAGACAACACTGCTACCCAGTCTCCAGGGTTACCAAGCCCAGATGTAGCAGCCCCTTACCCAAGAAACCTCCAGTCCAAACAGACCTGGACAGAAGTGATTAACCCTTGGCATGGCTCCTAAACCTAGTTTAGACAGGCACCAGTGCATTGTCCAGCCCTGGCCCTGTGGGTTACCTGCACCAGGGTCTCTGCCCTCTCAGGCCACCAGAGAGGCAAGCACAGAACACCACAGTGCTCCTGAGCTGCTGCCTGGCCCACCAAGCCTCTCACTAGCCCTGCTGGGGTGGGATGCTCTGGAATCCTTCCCCATGCTGCTACAGGGTGCCCCTTGGCTTGTGTGAGCACAGGAACCAGCAGTCAGTGCCACCCTGAGCTGCTGCAGGAGCGCTCAGCATTGCCCTCCTGCTGTAACCAAGCAATAGTTGTCTGCAATAGCTGCCATGTACACAGCAAAAGCAGCACAAAAAAGAGAGGGGAGGCACCACCTTCTCCCTCCTGGCCCCCCACGCACCACCATGTTGTTTCAAGGTTTTTCACACGCCTGGGGAAGGTCTCCTTTGGCACAGATGTGTAGAGGCACCATGGTCAAGAGGCACCTGTGGGCCCCAGCCTCCAGCATCACCCCACAGCCCCAAATCCTTCCATGCCCACTGCAGCTGAGTGGCCACACCAGGACTGCCAAAGGGCAGTGGGTGCAGAGCAGGGGATCTGATCCCCTCATCCCAAAGGAGCATCCTCTGGAGAGGGCCTGGACACACTGGGGACGTGCCTGTGTGTGTGCAGACAGACAGGGGCCACACAGCAGCTCTCCCCAAAGCCCTCTGGGGAGCCCGATGACCTGGCTGGTGCCAAGCCCAGCTCTTCACCCCACACTGCTCCCACGTGCCCCAGCCTGCGGGAGGCACGGGCTTATCCCCTGGGATACTTACTCCTCGTGCCCTTTGCAGAGGAAGAAGAGGGTCCTCCAGGCCTGCACTGTGGCCAGCAGCAGGGAGAGGAGCCCGGTGAAGATGCTGAAGCGGCAAGCAGCCTCAGGCCCCCACTCCTGCACCGTGAAGCGCTGCCGCTCCACCGTCAGGTTGGCGTTGAGCCACATGCCCTCGGTGAAGAGCAGGCACCGGCCGTGGAAGTCGTTGCCATTCTCGGAGAGTGGCACCACCACGATGAAGCTGAAGAGAAAGGCCAGGAAATAGCAGATGCACTGAGCGAAGAGGAAATTGCTGAGCGCCATGTCCGCGGCTCTGCGCAGGCAGAGGGAGGGAGGGAAGGAGGGGTGGAGAGAGGGATACAGGAGGGAGGGATGCAGGAGGAGGGATGCAGGAAGAGGGATGCAGGACGGATGCAGGAGGAGGGATGTAGGAGGGAGGGATGCAGGAAGAGGGATGCAGGAGGACGGATGCAGGAGGGAGGGATGTAGAAAAGGGGATGTAGGAGGGAGGGATGCAGGAAGAGGGATGCAGGAGGGAGGGATGTAGAAAGGGGGATGTAGGAGGGAGGGATGCAGGAAGAGGGACGCAGGAGGAGGGATGTAGGAGAGAGGGATACAGGAGGAGGAATGTAGGAACGAGGAAGTAGAGACGCAGGGGAGCGATGTGAGGTGGGACGCGGGGAGGATGGAGGGATGGAGGGAGGAAGGCAGCTGCAGCAGTAGGCGGTGGGGAGGGAAGGAGGGAGGGAGGATGCGCAGTGCAATGCAATGCAGTGCGGTGCGGTCCGATGCCTCCTCCGGACACGGCTGCTCCCTCTCCCGCAGCCCGAGCTGCCCCTCTGAGTGGCTTCAGGGCTTGTAGGGGAAGAGGGGAGCGGAGAGAGGAAGAGCTGTTGTGGGGTATCCCTCTGCCACTACGCCCTGGCGCGCAGGGGGTTAAATGAGTCCGTGTGCCTCCAGCAGGGCTGGGGACCGCCGGTGGGGGATCCCCCTAATGACACAGGACACTGATGTCACCCCTGTTGATCACCATCACACACACACACACACACACACAAAAATGCCCCAAACCAGCTGACTGGCTTCATCCTGGCTGCTGGATCCCAGGAAATTTTGACCCAAGTTTCTGAAACTCGGGCCCCAGCCTCAGACGGTGGCAGTAACAGAGAGGGTGCACAGCCACCCCCGACCCAGTGGTTTTGTTCCTAGCTAGCTGGTCACACCCCTACCAAGGTGTTGCAAGGGGAGAAAATAACAGAGAGGGTGCACAGCCACCCCCGACCCAGTGGTTTTGCTCCTAGCTCAGCTGGTCACACCCCTACCAACGTGTTGCAAGGGGAGAAAACAAGTGGAATTCCTCTCACCAGAAGTGGAATAACTTTTCCTGAGCCTTGGTGTCATTTAGGGGCTGCCTGGGATTGGGATCAGCTCCGTTTTCCCCTGGCTGGCAGGTGAAGTAGGGCTGAAAGAAAATAACTTTAAGCAAGTTCCTGCTGGACGTCGAGCTGGGAACAGACCAGCACAGCAATGGGACACACACAGCAGGAACAGATGGCATTTTATCCCCGGGGGTGAGCAGCTCCCTGCCCCACACCATGCTTGGGCAGACACCAGAGCACTCCTCTGCTGTGGGGCCCAAAACTGCCAGGCCAGGATGCCAGAAAGCAAAAGGCATCAGAGAGGGGAATGTGAGTTGTGCTCAGATCACTCTGGCACAAAAATCCAAATTAAACTGACCTCAAGTTATAGTTTCCCCACAATCCCAATTTCATTTTTCCATCTCAGCATGAATCCTCTCTCTGGCACAAGACACCACAATTAAAGTCCAGTTCCAGGTAAAGTAATTTCCTAATTTAATTTCCTAACCACATCCAGTCTGAGATCAGCTGCAGGTCTCAAATCACCTCTTAATCCCAGGGCTGTTTACGCTCATTTTATCACTGTGCCACATCTCAGGAAGTGTTTAGAGAAGCAGATGAGGGACAGAGACCCCAAACAGTGCACATGGGAATTCGGGCTGGTGTTTCCATTGGGCAACCAAACAATTATTTCTGTGTGCTGCTAAGAGGTTACAGATACAGTTCTAAGGAGGGAACTGGGGGGATTCTCCAAGAAGACATTCATTCACAGTTTCATTATAAATCATTTGTAATGCATATTATCTTGAAATCTCTCTATCTGTGCAGGGGAAGTATTCTTCAATAAAAACTTTTTTCAGTACAAATGAAATGCGTCAGGCCAGTTTTCTGATCCTTACCCAGCACTGATCATCAAAAATTGTATTTCAGTTTTGTAGCATGAGTTATAGAGCACTGACCTGACCCTGTGGGGATAGATGTGTGCTCCTAAAAGAAAAGATTTTGCTGATATTTCAGTCTATTGGTAAAGAGGAAAGTTTATTACTCTTAACCTTGGTTCCAAGAAGTGCTTGGTTCCCAAAGGGTTTTATCCTTTAGCTGTAAAGACATCAGACCTGGACTGAGGTGGAAAACTGTTTTCTTTGATACGTGACACATCAGATTTGCCAGATAATGTTTTCTGAACTTAACCTGGGAGGTCAGCACCAGCATAAAAGCCCAGTTATTGCTTACATTGGAGCCCACAGAGGGGGCCAGCAGATGCCAAGGGTGCTTTGCCTGGGGCAAGCCCAGTGCTCAGATCTTGCCAGCAGCAACCACAGGGCTCTGCTGCACGAGGCTGTTTGCACAGGGCAGCGTGGGGTCACTTACAGAGCAGATAAAATTGTCTTTGCTGATGAACTAACTCAAGCGAGCATTTATTGGAGAGTTTCAGAAAGCACAGCCAGGCATTTACAAATGTGAGCAGACATGTAAAACAGCTGCACTTAGCAGGCTGACAGCTACTGGAGCTTGGGCTCAAGCAGTGAGCACACACTGGAGTGAGCAAAGGGATGGAAATAAAACCTGTCAGCCGTCACTTTGGAGCTGCCTGGATTTCTCATACTCTTCTCTCATGTAATTCCTAAAAAAAAAATCCTGCTAGGCTGGAATTGGTTTCAGAAACATGGAGTTATTTCAGTGGAGTAAATTTGATAGGCTTACTTTTCGCAGCGTGGTGAAACTGAGGGAGAAAGACAAAGTGGATTCTCTTATCACAGGGAATGGAGGACATGAGATATACAGGCCAGGCAGAAAGTCTGAAACACAGGAAAAGATGCACATTTTTCTCACTTCATATAATTGTTCTGTGACACACATCACAGCACTCTGCAGAGGGCAAAAATAAATGCTGGTGCCAAAAGATATTAGGTAAAGTAATGGTAAAAAGAGTTCCATAAGGACCTGAGAAATGCAGAGCCGGGAAGTAACCTTCAGCTCAGGATTCCCTCACAGCAGGTTGCTGGGAAGGTGGAGCCACAAAATGATCCCTCTACATCTCCAGAATCCTCTATTCTTCCCTAAAGCAAGCACCTGCTCCTGGCAGGCCTTGGAGATGAGATCACCCTTTGGTCTGACCCCCTTGGCCATTTCAGGTTCTCATTGCCAAGCTGGCAGCACCAGCCTGGTGTCTCAGCTTTCCCATCCAAGTGGGGAGAGCTGTCCCTCCAAAGCATCCCCCATGCCTTGGCTCCTGTGAATGTCCTTAGGAGGGGTTTGCCCCCAGAGCAGACCCGTGCAGGAAGCAGTGGGGCAATTCTTGCAGCTGCAGGAAGAGAGAAGAGATGGATGAAAGGAGGCTGCAGCTTCCCCCAGCACTACTGGTGCCACCACAGGAACAGTTCAGATGTGTTCCTGCTGCACCCCCCATGAGCATCACCTTGACCACAACCTCCCCTCTCACCACAGCACAGAGAGCTCTCACCCCCTCTGTGCACCCACCCAGGCCTGCTGCACAGAAAATGATCCCCCAAGAGAACCATGTTCTGACATGGGGATGAAGATTGTCTTGCTCAGCATCAGGGAGGGTGAAGTTCAAAGTTTGTAAATTTTATTTCTCTGGGAAAAAAAGAAAAGCCACAAAAATAAAACACAATGCATGACCAACTCAGTGATAAGCAGGAAGCCAACCAGGATAAATCAAGATTAGATATACCATGTTTGCCTGTATTCCCTTCAGCCCCATATCTCCTTCTAGCTGCCTGGCTAATCCTCTGTAGATCAAGTAACATGGATGAGTTGGGCTGATGTGGAATGACTGATGGGGATGGTGTTTTTGGCTGTGCTGCTCCATGCTCCCTCTCAAGTCATTAATTATGCCATCTGACATGAGCAGTGCTCTCAAGTTGATATTTGTGAGGTAAGTGATGAATTTCCTCTCCTCCTGGTAGCTCATTAGGACATGTTTTATTACGAGAAAATTTGCTGAGGAATTAATTATTCAGACAAAAACATTTTTGAGAGCAGTTTTATTTGTTTTTATATTTATTTTACCTTGGATATATCATTTCTGTGATCCAAGAAAAATAGCAGCAGCATGTCTAGAAGGTGGCTACCACCTTGCTACCAGTAATGCTCTGCTTATTTCTGGAGAGAAGCACAGAGCCACAGCAGTGCCTCTGCAGAAGGATGCCCAGGGAGTAATATGTCTGTATTCTGGGCAGTCCAAATGGCTGCTTTTGAGCCATCCTTCAGACACTCAAAGGCAACTTCTGCCTGATTTACTTTAGCCTAAATATCTGCCTATTTTTACCAAATGGTTTAGCAAATGCAGTTTGCCCCAGGCTTTGGAGTCTGTTTTACTCAGATTCTGTTCTATTTTATTCAGACTCACTGGTCTGTTTTATTATTATATTAATCCATTGTTGCTGTTGTTGATATTATTATTATTATTATTATTACTACTACTACAAAAGTCTTGACCTATGATATTTGTCCCTGAAACTAATGGAAAGGACCCAGGCCTGTCACTTATCATCTTATGGTTGTTGATGTAAACAACACTTTCAGGGAGAGGTTTCTCATGGTAATCACTGTATTTAAGAAAGTCTCTGCCACTAGTTCAGAAGGATTATAGACAAAGTACCAAACTGTCAGCCACCTGTCACATCTGCATCTCTTCACAGCTACCACTGTGTCATGAATCTCCCAGGGCATCTCATTTGGGAACATGCTGACATTTTGCCTTTTACTTTCTTATAAGCATGTCCCTTCTGCCAGGAAAGCTGTCTGGTCTGTGCGGAGGTTATGAGCAGAGAGGGTGCCATGCTGACAGATGTTAATGGAGCAGTTATCAGGAAACAACTGAATATCATGAATGTGTCCAGATAGAATAACCTCTCTATTCTGATAGCCACAAAAAAACAAATGTTCACATTCTGAACTGAACAAGCACAGGCTGTGGCTAAGACATACATTTTAAAAATTAAATAAAATAATAAGAATAATAATAAAAAGGCTTGAGATTTTCAGAGCATTATTAACACAAATCTCTGGGTGACTTGTGCGTGTCAGACTCCACAGCACCCTGCAGCCTGTGAGAGCTGTGACAGGAATGTGGCCCCAAAAG